ATTACATCTCCCAAACTTTTGCTTCAAACACATTTATAACCAAAAAGAAAAGACGTAACATAATATCTAAACATCGATTAATAACAATTTTGCGTGTGGCAACGAAAGAACCAATCAATCTTCTAAATGGCTCGGCATAATTCTTCCAACAACTCGACCACTTGATTCATCGTAGGGCGTTCTCTAGTCGACTCTTTTATACAAAGACAAGCGATCCTCATATACTCTTCCACACTCTTCTCTTCACCATCACCAACAACAACACCTTCATGTACCATTTCGCAATACCGATTTTGCCCTTCCATCATCACTGCCCATTGAGCTAACCCAACCTCTTTCTCCTCCACAACCACCGGCCAATTCGGCCTTCTCTGCGTCGCCATTTCCAACATCAGAATCCCAAAGCTATACACATCCGCTTTCACCGTCGCTGCCGTGTACCCTCCCCAATATTCCGGTGGCATGTACCCCATCGTTCCCGCCACTTGCGTCGACACGTGAGACCTCGACTCCTCCATTCTACGAGCCAACCCGAAATCAGCTATGTGAGCTACGAAGTCTGAGTCTAACAACACGTTGCTCGATTTTATGTCTCTGTGTATGATCGGTTTCGGAAGTCCGTGAAGGTAAGATAATCCTTTCGCTACTCCGTGAGCGATGTTCACTCGCGTCGACCACGAGAGAGGAGACGAATCGGCGGTGGTGGCTGTGTTGGTCTCGTGTAGCCAGTAGTCGAGGCTACCTTTCTCTAAGAACTCGTAGATCAAAACCCGATCTGGACCTGAGATACAGTAACCGAGAATCCGAACGATGTTTGGGTGACGAAGACGACCTAAGGTTTCCATCTCTGCACTGAATTCGCGGAATCCTTGTAAAGCGTCGGGATCGAGTTTCTTAACGGCGACTACGACGCCGTTTGAGAGCTTTGCGCGGTAAACGAAACCGAAACTTCCGTCGCCGACTATCAGATCTGAGGAAAAGCCTTTAGTAGCTACTGAGAGATCCGCCATTGAAATCTCGTAGATGGAAGGATCGAAACTCGCACTATCGTTCACAGTGTCGGAGCTAAGAACCGGAGTAGAAGACTGATCGGAGAAGTTACGAGCACGGCGAGGATGGTCTTCGATTGGAGGACGGCGACGACATACGAGGATGAGGAAAGTGAGGATTAGTAAGATGAAGCATGAGCTTGTGATGGAGACTAGGATTATTGCGAGTTTGTTATCCATTGGAGATTGGAAGAGATAGTGTTTTGCGATGAGTAT